GGGTTTTTTTGTTTTTTTTTCAATATGTCAATTTGATCTAATTAATATAATTATATATTTATAATATTTCATTTATTTATATAGAATCTTACGCTGTTTTTGTGTAGTCTAATATCGGCTTTGTTTGATGGTATATTGTTGGGGGGGTTTTTCATTCCTTTTCCGTTTAAAATGGATGAAAATTGTTAGTTAACGGCAAAATCAGATTTTGTTTGTTTGCAGACAGATTTTACCGACATTTAAGAATGTCTCCTTCGGCAGTGGAAAAAATGGCAAGGATGTCATAAACTCATTCTTATCCGATACCCCTCGTACGGTTGACAGACAACAACAAAAATGAGGGTCAGGAATGAAACAAATCATGGATATATGAGCCAATTACCCTATCAGATTTTGGCTTTATTTCCCCCTATTTCAGTTAAAAATTCCCCACATGTAACTAAAAAATACTACCACATTGACATCTTGTCATGGTTCTATGGTGTTTTTATTTTCCGTTAGTTCGACGACCAAGTGATTTATTTCATTTTCCATGTGCCCATGTTAGCACTGTCGATATTCTACGACACTGTTTATGGCTGGCCTTATTTACGGTAAATCCCCCTCCCCCCTTCCCTCCAATTTGTTTTACCCTATTTCGATAAAAGGTACTAACTTTCTATTCCTTCGTTAATTCCTGATCATACTTCTTTCAGGTATGGGTTCAATTTGAGCAAGATAAAAGGTGTATTAAGTAAAACTCGTAGTAACGAGAATCAGCTTGATAAAATGGCGTCGCTGAAATATGTAACGCACGGAAACCTATGGCGAGACTAAATTAGTCTATATATGTATTCTAACAGCTCCAAAACGATGCCAAGAGTGGTTAGGTGACAACGTGTCTTCTTTGTATAGACTTTATTCCGAATATTTGCGTGTCTCTTCATATTTATTTTCTGTTGTATGTATGTGCGGATATATTTCGGCGGCGGTGGCGGTGGTTACATTCAGTACCAAAGTACTTTTGGAACCACAAAAAAACACCAACGTCTTAACTGAAAAAGTCTCTATATCTTTTACAACTTAAGAAAAAATCAACACTTACTTTAAAACAGTATCCTGAACTCTCTATAAGCTTAGGCCGGAGACGTACATATTTCTAATATTTCAAAAACATCTTCAGATATTTATTCAAACATAATTTGTCTAGCAAGCTTTTGCAAAGTTTGATAATTGAGCTCTGAAAATTTCACTTTTTTTTAAGAATAAACAAGTTGAAATGGCCGCTGTGATGTGCGAGGGTTAATTCCTTTCATGACCGGCACTCCTTTCTCGTTCATTATTCAATTTCAAAAACGTATTCAGATATTACATAATATTTCTAACCAGCTTCTAATATGAGTAATGTATGTCTAGGATATGTGACATGTTGACACGAACTAACGAATACACGATCGAATTATCACAGGTAACACATTGACCAGACTAACACTCATAGACCCGGTTCAGTGTGATTGCGCAGCCAAAACCCAAGTCTCGCAAGTATCTTATTTCACTGCCTGAACAATATGATCATGCGTGTTTTTGCGAGATCTGCGTGAGTTGCCAATCTCTGTAATATATACGTCTCTGCTTAGGCTAAACGCTACCGGCAAATTACGAGAAAGAATTCTTCTTCTTCTTCATAGTTTTACTAGATCTTCTTGGCATAGAAGATTACCTGGAGTGCGTGTAGTTAAAAGAATTTAATTTTTTTGTGTTATTTTGGATTTAACATAAAAATATATACATAAGTAGTATTTAGTGTAGGAGAAGTGCGAGTACAGCTGGAGTCAGCTGATCTACAGTAGCACTGTCTACAATGGCTGCGGAAAGAAGGACCATTTAATGGTGTCGTTTATTGTGGATATATGTCTGAGGTTTTGATCATTTGATTTTCTGGTTCTACTGTCAATAGAAAAGAGGATAGCAGTTGTAGGAACAGCAATGATACAATGAACAATTTTATGGAATACTACAAGTCGTGCTTTTAGACGACGTTCAGCCAGAGACGTATGTATTATACGTCTCTGGTTCAGCTAGGAGTGGCCAATGGATATTTTCTAACATTCCTGATACACTGCTGGTATTATAGAAGTTATTGCATACGTATCTAGCTGCGCGTCGTTGAACCGTTTCAATTTTGTTTGTATTTCATTGTGTATTGGGGTCCCATACGCAAGTACCATACTCAAGTTTGGGTCGCACAAGTGACTGGCGAGCTTTGGCCTTGATATTCGTGTTTGAAATCTTAAGATTTCTGTTAAGAAAACCAAGGGCCTTGCTACCATTAGATGTTACGTTGTCACAGTGGGTGTTCCACTTTAATACTTGGTAGCTGGGACAGATTCCAATACATGGTCATGAAGGATATAATTATATTAGATAGGCTTCTCTTGTGAGTGACTGATAGTGAGGTATATTTACCGGGGTGGAAAGCCGTTAGCCATTCTGCTTCCCATCTGGCAGCAGCTTCAATGTCTAATTGCAGTTTATCGCAGTCTGCAGTAGATGAGACTTCGCGATAGATAATGCTATCGTCAGCGAATAGCCGGAGTTTACTGTAGTGAAAATATTCGGGAAGATCGTTTATATAAACAGGGAATAGGACAGGTCCGAGGACCTTGCCCTGTGGGAGCTCTGTTGTAACTGGGACCTCTGTTGTAACTGGGACTGTATCGGAAGAGACACCATCTATCACTACTGACTGGGAACGGTTACTTAGGAATGCGGAAATCCAGTTAAGGGTGTTAGACTGGATGCCATAATATTTTAGTTGGTATAGAAGGCGTCGATGTGGCACTTTATCGAACGCCTTCGCAAAGTCCATTATAATAAGGTCAATTTGTTTGTTTTTGTTTTTGTTATCTGCCAGTTCATAGACAAAGTGTAACTAGTTGGGATTCGCATGATCGTGATTTGCGGAATCCATGCTGTAGATCGTCGAGGATGTTATTTGATTCAAGGTGTTGCATTACATTACTGGTTATCATATGTTCCATGATCTTTCAGCATATGCACGGTGAGGGATATGGGTCGATAATTTCCCGGATTGTACTTTTCACCTTTTTTATATGCTGGTACCACATTTGCCAAGTTCCAAACGAGTGGTGTTTCTCCGGTTTTAAAAGATTTGGTGAATATGATCGAAAGGATTGGAGCAATATGTTCTCTTAGCTCTTTCAGTATAAGGCCGCTGATATTATCTGGCCCACTGGCCTTGTGAGGATAAAGACTGTGTAGGAGCTTAGAATTTGGCATGATGGGATGATGGCTTAAGCTTTTATCAGGAATGGGTGCGTCAGCTTCTGTGGTAAATACTGACTGAAGGTGACGGTTTAGTATATGAATAGGCCCTCATGCTTCAGACCTCATACTTTTTATGTAGGAGTAGAATTTTTTGGGGCTGGCTTTTGAGGTTCCAGGTTGGTAAGGTTCGTCTATTGGGAGGTCACATATTTTTTTTTCAATATAGTTCCAATTTGATTTTCTAATCTCCCTTTGTATAGTTTATTTAATTTATTTGTACTTTTGTGGGCAAGTTTTTCTTTTTTTGTAGAGCTTGTTTTTCTTTTTTTTTATGAGCCTACTTAATGAATTTCTGACCCATGGAAGTTTGTGTTTGTAGGTGAGCATCTTACTGGGGATATTAGTGTCTGTAGAGGATGTGAGGTGTGTTTTAAAATAATCCCACAGGTCGTTACAGGATGATCCTATCATTGTCTCATTCATTGTTTCAAAAATTGAATCGAGATCTAGCTTTATTTGGTCCCAATTGGCCTTGCTGTACTTGAGGATCTTTCTTCGGGTATTTCTAACCCGTCTTAACCAGATGTTAAGTTCTAAGAAATACCATGGCATGGTCTGCATGACCGATTGGAGGAAGAGTGCTAACTTTGTTAACACTGGATGGATTATTGGTTAGGAGATCTAGTAGGGTGTTATGTAGTATGGGATCGGGCCTTCCTGGATGATAGAGTAATTTTCCCAGTCAATGTGACCGAGGTTAAAATCTCCGCCGAGACATTTCAAGGAGTTTGAGTATTTCTTCATACTGGAAAGCGACAGTTTTGATTGTTCTAAAGATTGACCTTTACTTGAGGGAGGTCTGTAATAACAGCCAATGGTTAGTTTTTTGGACCCGGAAATATCAATTTCAGCCCATACAATTTCACAATTGTCAGTTTTTAATTCTGGGAGTTCGATGCTGTTGAACTGATAAGACTCACCGCAATCAGTACACCCCCGTGGCTCTGACTGCTCACCGCAATAAGTACACCCCCGTGGCTCTGACTGCTCCCCGCAATCAGTACACCCCCGTAGCTCTGACCATTGCTATCTGGTGTTCGGTCATTTCTGTACACTGTGTACAGTTCTTTTGGAAAGAATTCGTGTGATGCAATGTTACCATCAAGCCAGGTTTCCGTGCCAAGTATGATGTCAGGCTTGGTGGAATCAAGGACTTCTAGCAATTCTGGTGTTTTGTTTTTAATCGATTGAAAACTTATGTTGAGTATTCACCAAATTCTTTCCTGTGACGTCATAACAGCAATTATGTACAGAAAATGTCAGGCATTTGCTATCAATTTGATTTTACAGAAACTCTTTATTACATATTTTACAATAAAATGGGTCGGCCTCTTTTCACATAATAGTTTAAGATTTTTTTGTAAATTAAGGGCAAAATTCAATCAGCCAGCGTCATCTGTGCTCTGCATCATACCGAAAATCTATCAGTAAAGAATATTGAGAAACTTAAACAAACAAACAAACAAACAAACAAAAAAATAATAAAAATATGTCTTAACTAAGCTGTCGTCAGTTAAAGGTGTTTGTCTTACTAAAAATCAACAAATGATGCTGATATGTTCGTGACATATACGTAACCCGTGCAAAGGGGAGGCTAATCAGTCTATATTTGTAGCCCCGTGTGTACGTTATCGGGGAGTACCTCGGACCATACGTACACACCCTTTACCTGGCCTGATAAGGTATACCTGTTCCAGTGGGAGTGACCTCGTCGACCAATACCAACACGGCATTCTAACATTGGGAAATATACTATAAATGATCCGTAAAAAGTGTGAAAAATAACATCTTGTACTATATAAAAGCGTGTGGATGTTAAAATGGCAAAAGGCGGACATGGTGACGCGAACGGTGGATATGTCAACAAGGGATTGGAGTTGGAGGAGGTGAAACTTGGGGAGGAAACTAGTGAGTATTTTACCTGTAGGACAGGTAACACATTTATCTGACAACGCAACACGTGGTTGCCGGGATTTCTAGTGCTTAAACCGAAGCACATGTAATATATATATTATATATGTGTAAAATATCATTGTGTATAATGAATGACAAGTCTTCAGCAATTATTTATTGGAAATGTTACTCAAGTCATCGACAGGACGAGGACAGTATGATAGTTGTGAAATTACATAGCGAAGAAGAAAGTGTTTGAGATAGTACGTATTGACGAGTATCGTACGATCGCACGGCACACGTGTGCACTTGTTGGTACACAGAGTGTAACCGGAAGACCTGCAAACCTACGGATTTAACCATTCACATTTCATGTTACTATGACAGCAAACTATTCATTGACTCATCTTATTCTCATATCTAAAAAACAAAACGCTTTGTTCAATCATTGCCTCGTCCATTCGTGAGATTTAGAGTTGCCAACAAGCACAAACAGTCAGACAAAGTAAATGGTGCGTCCCTATAGGAGTTATCCTCGATATTCCAGGGGTTACGTTAGCTATCATTCTATGCACCCCTAGAATATGTCATGACAAACTTGCGGGTGATGCATGTAGACTTTTTTGTAATCTTTTCGAGTAATTCAAAAGAATCGTACAGCAGCATAACGGTAAAATTGGCAGGTTTTGAAGTTGGGTGTCGCTCTTCTGTTACCTTCAAAGGACATGTATCAAACCCAGCAAGTGGTCCTATATATTTTCCTGAAACAAACCATAAAGCTAACCACACGTCTTCGATATGTTGTCATGTCACATTCAAGGGGTACAGAGAACGTAGTTGAGCAGAACCCCTTGAATTTCGAGTGTGCTTGACTTTAGTCCAGCTTTCATCGACTACACGAAAATGACAGGAAATAGTGTAAGTATTAGGTTTGGTTTGGTTTAAGTTTGTTTAACGTCTTATTAACAGCTAATGGTGGTTGTGGTTGTGATGGTTGTGGTAACTGGTATAGTTTTGGTAGTGGTGGCGATGGTGTTAGTAGTATTTAGTAGTGGTGATAAAATAAAACCGATTATGGCGGCGATGTTGGTATAAAATCCATCCTATGATGTGTATATACAAATATTTATCTTATAAGGAAAGGGCGTTAATAATGTTCATATAACTTGTGCCCAATCCTCTTGCATTTTTTGGCAATAAAATATGTTTAAACTAAACGTTGGTATAGTGATCGCAGTGGAGGCTGCGCCACTTGTGGTGCTGGTGATTGTTGTGGAGACAGTAACGATGGTGGTAGTGGTATAGTGGTATAGTGGTGGTGTTGGTGATGACAGTGGTTATGTTAGTGGTGGCGACGGCAACGATAGTTATAGTGGTGTAATGGTGATTTTGAGGCTATGAATTTTACAAATTTAATACAATAAATCACCATATAAAGGAATTTGGTCATAATAATATCAGTTTGAACGCAACTATTAAAACGAAATCTTCACAACTATGAGTTTTCTTCTTTTAATTTGTTCTATTTGGCAATTAAACGTTAGACATTTTTAATGATGTCTTATATAGTTGTAAACTTATTGTGGGCTCAAACGACTTACATTTTTTTTTAACGTGCGCTTTTCTTTAATTCCGTTAGTGGTATTCTCAAAATCAACGCATTTTATTAGAAATGTACGGTGACATAAAAGTTATATCAGTTTCAACATATTCATTGTTTAATAATTTGAACGAGGGATTATAGGTACAATATATATTGTAGCTTATCATAGCTTTCTCCCGTCTTATATTTACAATTTTACACGATAACAATGATATGATGCCTAACAATGCAACTTATCTTTATCTATATCTGTATGTTAACATTTATATATATATACATAAGTAGTGATGTACACAGAAATATATACAAACACAAACCATAGGCGTAAACCACAAATGATAAAAAGAACGTGCTAGATTTGATAAAGTGATGCACATGCTTAAAAACACAGGGACCTGAGAGTTTGTTACAGCTATATATGGACCTAAACTAAGATGTTCAGAGTAATTTTACTCGTTTTAGGGGTTTATATCAACTTTCGGTATACGTGCAACACCTTTTGCTGATATTTCTATCTCTAAAACGTGTAAAATTAATCTGAACATCTTAGGTTAGGTCCAAATATAGATGTAACATATTATCAGGTCCCTGTGCTTATAAAACGTTGAAGTTGAGGTCTACTGGAATATCTCAATTACCAAACAAAAGTAGCTATAAACTTTGTTTTGTAGCTACGACATTACATTTTTTGAAACAAAACATACATTTTGTTGGTAAAACGTTGACACTGAATGAAAAGGTGAAAGGTCATCTTCGAAATTTCTGCACAGAACGTAAGTGGGCGTAACCCCTGGAATTTCTATTATGGTGAAAGGCATTCTCGCATATGGATGTAAAAAAAAATGGACTTTTAAAAAGAGTTCCTATGTTAGGTCATATTGATTGGAACTACGCGTACGTATACACTTATGTCTCCGCTTAGAATGTAGAACGTTCAACTTTCGTCCTCCAACACTGAGGTAGATGGTGGGATGGATGATTGTACATTTGGGGTAAAATAGTTTTAAACATTTTAGGAAGACAGCGATCGTTCCACCTGGTTCCCAGCACGAAGTGTAGAATGCATAAAAGTAGGAATTTGCCCGAGTGGACTAAAATCATTATTATTTTAAGAACGTACCCAAATTTGTTCTGCAGTGGTAGGCGAAATATCGTTTAGATAATCTGGAGTTAACATGTGCATTTCGTATAAACGTTGGAGTTTTCCACGTCTTGGTCGATTCGAAAAAGTTTCTAGATCTGTTTCAAAATGTGAGTGTTCGTTACAAAGGGTATATAAATGGTGTCCCGTTAGTATATCGGCAGCTTCTCACTGAGCCTTCTCTTTAGTGTGTGTTTAGTTCTAGATTTCTAGACTTATGATGATCTGTAAAATTCAAGATTTTCCCATTAAATTCCAACTCAAAATCTTCCCCAATGTCGACAGAATTTTAAATAAATATCACTTTCGTTTTCAAAATTTGTCCTAGTAAACAGCATTGTCGGATACCCAAAGTCGACTGCGCTAATTTGATACCGATAATTGTAGCGCGATCGACCTTGGGTAATCGACGATGGGGAAAACTGTTACCAACCAAATTTTTGACACAATTTTTATAGAAACTAAAAATCTCTATTAAAGATGATGCACTATTAAACACGAATATAACGATTTAATAAAGAAGAAATCCTATGCGAAATGACGAGCAGCTGATTGAAAAACTTCGGCAGTATCATTGATATGTATTTTAAACAAGCACGGCCCAAAAATTGAACCCTGAGGAACTCCTGCTTCGTGAAAACCTTATTGAGAATAATAACATTTTAAAGGAAACCTTCTGGTGCCCCGGTAATATTTTGTTGTTTTACCTGGCATATTTCCGTACATTTTTTATTTTAATGTCAAACTTTTATTCCAAACGCAATCGAAAGCATTGGAAATGTCACAGAATACTTTATACATATATCAGATACATGTCTTTTCTTCAAGGGCAATATAGATGTCGTGGTTTTCAATGAACTGGTATACAGTAGAAGGAGCATGCATACTGAATTTTCCTTACCATAATTATGCAAGTGTTTGGAAATCATTCGTTTAAAAAGTAATAGATATTTAAGTAAATAAATAATCAGACTGTGTGTATGTAGTAGAGAAAATGACCTATATTAAGGAGAATAGCGTCATCGTTTTTCAACATAATGGCACGAATTTCGCTAATCTTTTTAACTCTTTTGCATGATTGTTTTTGTCACTTTTGGAAAGAGATGAATTAGTACATACTACATACTAGCCACGTTATCGTGGTTCTGTTATCGAATTGATGCACGCGTTGATAAACAGATAACTCACGGACAAACAATTGAAAGTTAACAATAAGTTATATAAGGAAGATAGGCATATATAACACTTGTATTTACACATGCATTTTGGCAAAAGTTGCTTTAAACTTCCTGTTTTTAGTATATTAGACAGGGAATATTTGGTTTGGTTTGGTTTGATTTATTAAGTTATTTAAGGAAGTGTCGTGCGTAGTACATGCGTGTGTGTTAGAGGCGGTCTGTTGCGATAGCGCAAATCTGATGCCGGATTTAGAGTGCTACCTCACTGAAAGAAACGCATCACAGTGATTAATCCGGTCACAATATAGACTGACAACTGTAAACCAGTCGTTGCGCTTACCCTAGGTGCTGAAATGCGAACCGAAATACTCGGTAGTGAAGCGGACGTAAAAATGTTAAAACAAATTTAACAAACAAAGGTAGATTTCTAGTGAAACTTGGACAAGATAATAATATTGATCATGTATAGGCAATACATCGACATTGCTCAGGGTTTAAATTATCGTTTGCCTCTAGCCCTTTTTATTTAAATTTTACAAGGTGTTGTTTTCATTTCAGAAATGAATATCAAAGATAACGCTAGTCATCCCGAAAAATAAGTCTCCATTGCAGTTTCGTGGTAGCGACACAGGCATCTTTAACGCATATATAACCCTCGAAAAGTGTGTTATTTTAAAGAAACAAAATGTGCACTGTTGATTTTTGTCGCCCACTTAACTCAGTTTTGCTACATTGTTTTATTACAATTTAAATCAAAATATCTACTGTTACAATAACAATTTATATTTTCATGAGTTGAGAGGAAGACAAAAATTGTTAACAATTGTAAGCTTTCCAAAATAAAAAAAAATAGGCCCGGTTTTACAATTCAAGAATTTCGTATTATCACAAATACTTTCCCTACGACGACATTCGAAGAAAAAATCTCAATTAAAATGTGAAACTTATTCGAACTTATTCGAAGTTGATAAAAATGAAGGTGAATGCCTCCTTAACCAAATTAACTTCCGGTAAAGTATAATCATCAAAGGTTCTCGAACCACGTTTGGTTCCGTCTAGAAGGAGCTCGCCGACAAGCACATTATTACTTAGGTTACAGCAGAATGAACTTGTGACTGTCATCGTAAAACAGCCGATGACTCTGTCGACTTCCTTTATGTGATATGTTAACACCGGACAAATGAGCAAATTCATCCCTCCCTTCGACGACACCGTTCAACTAGATGATATGTCGGTTGATTTTTCAGATACCGCCCCAATCGTCGATGAAGATGGCAATCGACGACAGAGTGCGGATAGTGAAGTTCCCAACCATGTTGTGGTGGAATCGCGAAGAGAAGATTCCATTTCCAATGCTACAGCGTATGGATCAGTCTCGATCCTTCTGTGCATCAACCTCCTCAACTATATGGACAGATATACAGTAGCAGGTGATTGAAATACTATATGATATTATGATATGTGTATGTTTGGGAGGGGAGGGGGGGGGGGGGGGGGGNTAGCTGAAAAAAGAGTGATATTTCAAATCTGAGTTCATAAATGATTAAAATATCAAAGCTTTACACAGAAGAAATCGTTTTTTAAGTTTATTTCACAATTTTTTTCAATGTTAAATATTGTACATAGGACTCTAACAATAAGGGTCACCTGATGGTGTCGGGTAGTTTCGCCCTATATCCTGTTCGCCCAGAATCGTTTCGCACTAAGGTATTTCGCCCTAGGAGGCACGAAAGTCTAGTGGTAGAACGCCGGGCTGGTGACCAAAGGGTTGAGAGTTCGTGTCACGGCATGGCACTGTGTGGTATCTTTGAGCAAGATACTTTACTCTGTTTGTTCCAGTCTACTCAGCTGTAAATGAGTACGTGGTTGGGCAGCACTGGCTGTATGCTCCCCAAGGAGTTGAGTAAGATATTGGTTGGTTGCGAAGGCCCTATAACCACCGATAATAATTTATGAACCATTTTGAGACGACCTACGAACTAGGTTGTGATAAAGCAGTATATGAGAACCTTAAAATTATTATTATTAAAAATATTTTTAGTGTGAAACGCTTTAGTCCTGTTTAGTTGTGTATGGCTAAGACAGTCTAATCTGAGGCATTTCTAGGTCTCCCTTAGTCTTTTTTTTGTCATTAGACTCGTTAAATTTGTACGTGGTTGACTAGATCTGCACATACATTAAAATATAGCTACACCTGCAAATGGCTGCATGAAATTCTTCCGACCACGCAATCGTGCGTGATACATTAAAATAATATTTTTTTAATCATTTAAAACATTTCAACAGATACCTGTCACTTAAAAATATACATTTATATTGGGGCGAAACAACCTTAGGCGAACTGGATTAAGGGCGAAACGACGCAGATCCTACCTGATGGTCTGATACTAAAGAAATCTGGTTCTTGGAACTGTTAGCCAAACTGACCAGTCAAACTGACCAGTCGAAATTCAACGTTACTGTAATATCATGTTTAATATAATGTTGGGTAAGTGGAATTGGCACATGGATTAGTAAAATTTAATTCTACTGGCCGACTGACTAGTAATTTCGGTACCTGAGAATAAGATGCGTATGACAGTACTTTTTTATAAAAGGCAAAATACTGAAGAATCATAAAGCACACAATTAGCAACACATGTACACAAGACACAAAAATAAAATAAAGCGTGTAGTTAGGACATTTAGGAAATTCCTTGTCTAATTACATTGATTTAGGACTAAACAATTAATTTATTCAACTTGTCTTGGGACTACCAAGCAAATTTTGTTATATGTAGTTTCTAACCCTGGCTTATGCAAATTTCAGACTGCTAGCTGTTACTTGTACTGAATGGGTCACACATTGATATGTTTTGATCTTGAAAATTTGCTGATCAGACTAATGTAAAAAATAGTTATAACACAGAAAAAAACCTTGCTAATATTTCTTGTTTCTTAACTGTATTAATTTATTTTTCTCCATCTATTCAATTTACAAAAAACTGAAATGGAGTTATCTCATCTGACATTTAACTGAATGAAAATAGAAAAATGTTCCTTAAATAATTTTTGATATTAACTGATAAAATACATTAGCATGATATGTGCAAACAGGTACACATGTAAATACCTGATATACCTGTATGATAACACAACAAACAGAAATCAAGGGTACACATACAATCCTGCAAGCCCGATGCCCAGGGCTAATACAGTTGATGTTGTGTAGGGGCTAGTGAGAGTTTACTATGAAAATATAGGTTGGGCTATGAGTTCAATTTTTCCAAAAAGAAATTAAACACCCGTCCCCTGAAAATGTTTAAATTTGTTCTCTAGAAGTGACCAACACTGATCAGAAGAAATAAGCCGTTTTAACGATATTCAATATGATAACAAGATGTTTATATATGTACCATAGCAGGTAGGGGTGTCACGTTTATGCCTGAAGTGTATTGGGATATATTGCAATACAGTAGGAATACATTGTAATATGTATCCCAATATATATTGTCATAGGAAAAGGCTAGGGTGCTCAATTAAAAAAGAAACTGTTGTCAGAATGTTATCAAGCTATATCATATTGATCACACAGATTTAAGGTTTTCGTTTAGCCAAGCATCGATCCTGAACTTGCAATTGGCTTCCATTTTTGCATATCTGTTAGCATTGTTAGAAACACTTAGAAAATACATAGAAAAATGCTTTTAGAAGTATTCTGATACAGCGATATTTCATTTCTGTATTGCGATTTTTCTGATATATTGTGACAACCCTAACCACAGGTACTAGCCTCGTCTGTCAATACCTAAGTTCATTGTGTATTGAAACACCAGGCTTGTGCATGTAGAACAACACTATGGAGAAAAGACAGTTTCTATCAAATATCGTCAGTTTTTAATAAGTTTCAGGACTTTGCTTCATTTTACTGTGATATTGTAGAACACTGTTCTCGGATGCAATTGGGAACTTGAAACTGTTCAAATGTTAATACCGTAACACATCCTCAATACTCCAGGGGTATGGGATTATATGTACAGGATCGTAACTCTTGGCTAGTGAAGATGTTCGTAACATTGCATAAATGATTTGAGATTTATGAGGCAAATTCTGAACTGAAGTCCTCATCCAATGTCAATTTACTCAGAGAAACATAGCAAAATGTCTTGAAAAATGTGCTTCTGCATGTCAATTAAAGGTTAAAAAAAAAGAGGAAACCACTGAAATAAATCAGGTCTATCCCTAAAGGTTAGTTTCACTCTGGAAAACCTAAAAGAGGATTTATTGACTAGATTGATACCTACTAGTAATATGAATATATTTTTAAGATACCATAACTTAAATGTTTTAGTTGCAGTCTTATTTTATCCTTTTTTTTTCGCATTTAAAATACTGTAGACAACATTGTGCTAACTTATGATTGTGCTAACTTATGATTGTGCTTACTTATGATTGTGCTAACTTGTGATCATGCTTACTTATGATTGTGCTAACTTGTGATCGTGCTAACTTATGATTGAGCTTACTTGCACTAATTGCTGTTTCTGTATATTTTTTGTTACATAAATTGTGGGTGCACCAATTCATCAATGCACTGATCTACAGTATTTTATTTTAAAAGCAATGTTAAGTTTTGATAATTTGCAAAAAGTATTTGTTCCTTTAAATACAGTATATTTACAATATAAACAATAATGTGACTGATGACTTTTTCTTTCCTTCTACAGGTGTGCTTAAAGACATCCAAGACTTTTACGGTTTAGAGAACTCGGAGGACGGACTTATACAGACAGTTTTTGTATTAACGTATATGGTATTTTCCCCTATATTTGGGTTTCTGGGTGACAGATATACAAGAAAGTATATCATGGCAGGAGGAATATTTTTTTGGGCGACCGTAACTTTTGCTGGATCAATGATTCCTAAGGAGGTGAGTGAACGTTGTTTTCTTGATATTGATCAGTTCCACTACTTATAAATTATTGACCTATGATGAGGTGAATATGTGATTATATGGACCTGAGAAATTGGTATATTGACCGAGACAACGTTGAGGTCATTATCACTGTTTCAGGTCCATATAACCACATAACCACGGAAAGAAAAGTCCTTAATTGTTATGTTATTGGATGCTAAACAATGTTTAAATCATTAAAAAAGGTAGCTTGTATGAAAATTGTCAGGAGGAAAATATATAACATTTGGCAGAGAGTATTTTGTGATGTTAAAATTAAATGATATATTATGAACAATATCAAAGACACTTTTTCAACTGGTGAATTTGCTAAACTATTCCTACTTTCTAGGATAAACAGATAAAAATAAGCCATTTAAAAGTGTTACTTTTCCCTCGAGGGTGTACATACACACATTTTAATTCTGAGCACGCATAATCTCCCCTATGGAAATTTCAAAAGTTGGCAAGTATGATTGTATCTTACATCAAGTGTAATTAAGGTTCCTTGGACCACTGCCAAAAACTAAAACTATGCTTTATTGTAGTGGAACAGAACACGGATCTTTAATATTAAAACATTGGTGATAATTTTATACAGAAGAACAGATTAAATGGTTTTTATGGAATGCAATTATTTATATACAGAATCGAAAAAACTCCAAAACAGATTTGATTTGTAAAGTTTAGTGAATTGTCATTATGCATGTGTCATGTTCAAAATTGGCCAATTATAGGCATTCATTGATTAATGTTTTAATAAACTTCAAAATTTTCATTTGATCGAGATCAAATCTATATATGGCAAGTTGGCAACTGAAGTATTTTCTGATTAATTCTTAGTTGTAAATATGACTTAATTTCCTGAATCTGAATTGCCTTATAACATTTGAAAGACTTTTCAAACTAATTATATGCAGGAAATATATATATTTTTTTATCTCTTCATCAATTTGGAGCTCCTTTCAAACTTTACATGTATTATGAATGATCATGACTGAACATACATTGAATAAACACATTCTAGTCTATTTACCACAGAATATAGAATATCTTCAATGATTTCATTTTGGTGATAAATGCATAGATATTAAACTGTATTTCTGTTAATATAATCACTGCAGCAAGCTAACATTGCAGCTATATATATATATATAATTATCAAATGTTGAGATCAAATTCTTGCAAATTGCATAATTCTCCCCACATCTGTACATGTGTATGCAAGATACATGTGTCCCATTTTAACTCATTCACCCCTGAAGACACATTTGAAATCTTCCTATTCATAGGTTGGAATAGTCCAATATGAAATTTCAGGGGTGAATGAGTTAAAGACCACATGGGATAACTCTATATCACAGAGCTATCGATGCACCTAGAGCTGGTAACCACCAGTCTGGGAATGACAAATTTCCAAATCTTTGCTAGTGAGTGCAAAAAAAACCCCAGATGTGTATTTCAAAATGTTTATTACCACTACTGCGAATGACATTCTGAAATTATGCGACATCATTTCGATGTGATATGTACATGTGACGTCATAAAATTGACGTTTTTAGTCAGCAGAAGAATATCGACCAACAAAACACTGTCGACATCTGGCTTTGCCTCACGGAAATGAAAAAATATGAGACAAACTTTGCTGCTAAACTTTTCCAAACACTTGAATTTTAAAGTGTACCTTCAGCATGTGCAACGTTCCTTCCTTTTTCTGCTTTTCTTAAATATGTTCTTAATCAACCTGTACATTATCTAGAAAGTCTTCCATATTTATTGACGCATTCAGAAAACCTTTGTCGATTTACTCAATTCTCAACTTAAAGGAATTTCTCATTTCTATCTATTTTCAGCATTTTTTTGCCTTCGCAATAATGCGAGCGCTGGTTGGCGTAGGAGAGGCGAGTTACTCCACCATCGCCCCAACTATTATAGCAGATCTGTTTACGGGGGAGAAGAGATCGAGAATGCTCATGATATTTTACTTCGCCATTCCAGTCGGAAGGTTTGTAATATAAACATACATGATATTGTGTATTTTATTCATGTCAGGGCTTGTTAAAAAAAATCAATATTTACTATGAAAATTTAATTTAGGCTAGTAAAAAACCTGCGTGCTAGCTGGTATTATAATATGAAATTGTACGCCTCTGATGTAGAACGTTATTTAATTCAAACAGGTGACCTTATCTTCCACTATTTCAAATTATCAAAGCTATTGATGATCAGATATGTTAGCAATGGGGCAAAACTTGACTGTAAATGGTCCGTGACTTTTGGGTAAAGACTTATTATATTGAACGAGGTTAAATATGGTAGAACTGGGCTAAAATAATCGCCTGTCACCATGGTTAAAATACTTTATATCTGGAAATTGTCGTCGAGCTTAATTTCTGCCACTACAGCGGTAAAATACAATATTGCCAAATATTAAATTTACCCTTCACATTTAGTTACTATGTATATTGTATTATTTACAAATGTTTCATGTAATGACAATTTAGCTCTCATTGTGAAGGGCGAAAAAAAAAAATCGAACTGCGGCGAAAATTTCATTGTTAATAGTATCCAGCTATAGAGTTGCAAGTCCTGTGGGTGAATCTTTCCTTTCACATCATATTTAAATATACTCTGCCCACAGAGGATGTTATTGAAAGTTCCTGTAGTAAAGGGTCTCATGTTTCTTTGGAGTAAAAGATTTAAAGATTTAGTTTTAGTTGGAGGTTGGGAGTGTGATAGAATTAGTAAGAGAGCCTGTCTGGAGTTTGGAGGTCCGAGGTTCAAACCTGGTCTGTTTGTTGTCACATTCCTTTAAAGTTACAGTAATTTAGAATTCTGTTCCTGCAAATTTTGGTATAGAAATCACGATTGAAGGAATAAATATTTGAATATTCAATAATTCTGTCGAACGAATGACCAAACTTAACATATTTACATGTATGTATCTTGGGAAGGCGGAATCTCTCGCACTGAAATTGGGTCTCGTGCCCCACTATATACAGAGTTATGGCCCTTTGTTTAATTTAAATACTGAAGTTTGTCCACAGCTACGTTGACCAAACTTGCTATATTTATGCATCTTGGAAAGTAGAAGTGTTGCATTCTAAAATTGGGTCTCGTGACCCACTTTATAAAGAGATATGGCCCTTTGTTATTTTTTTATACCGAAGTTTGTCTACTGGCTAATAAGGGGAGAGATATGTTTTTGTTCACAAAAACAAATTCTAGTTATAATAAGTTTTGTGATTTCGGTACTTACAGCAAAAGACTATGATATGTAGTAAAAAATGTTTTTACCATAATTTATTTTTAGAAAGCCCTAAATGACTCAAATTGTCAATGGGCTTTAAAACAATACTTAGATAACAATAAAAAAAGAACATGTAAGGTTATTTAATGATAGCATGCTTAATTATTCATCTTAAAAAACTCCAAAAGAACAAGGATTCTTTTGTGCTTAGATCTTGAAATATCAAAGTAATACATAGAAATGTGTCTCGATTAATTAAAACGTGAGACGATGTGATTTCTACGTATTCATGTTACATTGCATGTGTATATGTTTATACACCATTATTTGTAAGTACAGCATAACCTTGTTATACTGCCACCATTTTTCCAGAGACAATTTTAGGGAATTCTTAACAAGAAGTGAAAAAATGGACCTTGAAATATTTCGGCGGAAAGTGAGGTGGCAAATTAAACGAGGGGCATTATATCAAGGTTTTACTGTATGCTTTTGTATATGTAAGGAGTGATCTCAATATGTGATTGTAGACTATTTCTGTATGCTTACTCGTGTTTTATTTCAGTGGTATGGGTTACATTGTGGGATCTAACGTTGCTAAAGCTTTAGGGGCCTGGCAGTGGGCCTTAAGGGTAAGTATCAGCTTTCTCCGTCAGTCACCATCTGGCCCCACTCGTATACAACACCTCAAGTCTAAGAAGGGGCTGCGGAGGCCAAGTGTTTAAGGCGTCTTGACATTCTGCTACCACTAGCCCTCCACCACTGGGTCGCGGGTTCGAGGCCTACCTGGGACAGTCGCCAGGTACTGGCAATAGGTCCGTGGTTTTTCTCCGGGAACTCTGGCTTTCCTCCACCACAAAACCTGGCACATCCTTAAATGACCATAGCTGTTAATGGGACGTAAAACACAGACAAACCAAACCAAACAGATCAAATCAAGTCTAAGATTTTCCATAGACTAAATATTGCATGGGATTTTCCTTAAGTTGGAGACGTTTTATGCAAGTGATCCCAGGTATCTCAAACATAACTGAATGGAACAGTATAATTTTAAGATTACCAGCCCAGCTTTCAGTAACAGGCCACTGAATTAATGTTAAAGATGACTTTGGCTTATTATTATTCTCCTGATATTTTTCATGTTCCTCCTGATGATGAATAAATCATCTAGTATGTAGTTAAGGTAAAGAGTACCATAAAATGAAAATATGCAATTACCCGGTACTATTTGCAAGATGATAATATGTTTATTTAAAGTCTTGTTTTACAATTACAGATTTTCAAAATTTGAGAATTTAGAAACAAAAATAACAATGAAAAGAAAAGCATAATGTATATTATGTACCAGGGGTCCATCTCATGATCTTTTTCATTCCTACATTTTACCAATGTTGATATCCATTATCCAGGAATTTTAATTGCACAGAATCAAAATGAAAGATGAATGCCTTTTATAAACTTGACGTTTTGATAACAATTATGAAACAAGTTTTCACAAATTATATTAAACACTCTTGTTGGTCCATATGTAAGTGTGTGTGGGTCTTATAATTATTGTGGGAGGAAACCGGTGTACCTGGAGAAAACCTGGGTGGTTGAGCAGGTGACCACATAACTTTTCATGTCCGACAGCGATAAGGAAATCAAATCCCGGTCACCTTGGTAAAAGGCAAGGGCATCCATTATACACTACCTCACCTGACGACACAAGGGAAGTAACTCTAAGCCAGAAAAAAACTCCCATAGGTTACTCTGTCTTTCTGTGCAATGGCGAATATTTTCAAGCAAAAATAAAACGGATCCAAAGAAGGGCTCTTCTTTGGCTTTATTCGTACCTTTAAATCATGAGTTCCTAAACATTGTTCATCAAATCCTCAAATAATAAATAAAAAAATCACAACCTCTAGATTTGTTGTGTAAGATTGGTAGTATTTGGTACCGGCCATTATGCTAAGTTGGAATAATCAATATATGGGAACAGATTGAGTGTTTGTAATAAACTTACATTAACACAACACTATCTGACTGTTTTAAAAAAAAAAAGGAGATTTCAAAGGGGAAAAAAATCTATTTTCAAAGAATAATCAACCCTTGATTAATGAAATGATTTCTTTATTAACATGTTCCCGTATATGAATGATATAATTTGACTGTTGATGTTTGAACATAGAATTCTTTCCCCTGATAAGATTGAAGATGTTAAGTTATTATTCGTGTTTCCAGGTGACGCCAGTGCTGGGTTTGGTGTGTGTAGTACTGATTCTAGTCGTACTTAAGGAGCCCAAGCGTGGGATGTCTGAAGGGGGAGTAACTCTCCAAAACACAAGCTACTTCACTGACCTCAAAGAGGTCGTTAAGATGTAAGCCACAAATCAAGTATGGTTAAATATTCTTCGTATAAGCCTGAGCGAAATTCATCCGTTTTTGCAATAAACAAGTTCAATCTGAGATGTCGGATACACACAGTTATACTGTATACTGGAAATGCTCACTGCTGTTTAATTTTTGCCTTTATAGTCCTATGTTATGAGGGCAAAATTATCATTACAGCCATTAGTAGTAAGTGAATTACATGTAATAAATATAATAATCAAATGTGAAGGGCAAAATTGAAATTAGACGAAAACAGGTTTTTACGGCTTAGAGGGGAAAGTTTCTTGGTCTAATATATAATGTATGTAGACAAAATATTACCTAGGACAGAATGGTGATGTCACAATACAAAACAATTACAAATAACATTTGGAAAAAGATGCAAGCATTACTGATATCCTTGCAGAGTCTTCATGCTCATAGCTTTTTAAGGGAACAAGGTACGTATGTGGAAATTTGGTCATTTTCACATTTAAAATGTTTAAAAATGTTTTCTTTATTAGTGTCTTGGTTTTCATTTTCACTGATTTATGATATTGTTTTCTCCACAGCAAGAGTTTTGTTCTTTCCACCATAGGATTTACCTGTGTGGCTTTCACTACTGGCGCCCTGGCACTGTGGGCTCCCCTCTTTATGTACGACTCCATCATGGCACAAGGCAAAGAGGCAACTCAGGCAGGGTAGGTACAGGATGGGGTGGGGAAGTACACGACTGGGTGGGGACGTACAGGACAGGGTGGGGAGGTAACGGGGGGGGTGGGGAAGTACACGACAGGGTGGGGAAGTACACGACTGGGTGGGGACATACAGGACAGGAAGGGGAGGTAAACGGAGGGGGTGGGGAAGTACACGACAGGGTGGGGAAGTACATGACTTGGTGGGGACATACAAGACAGGAAGGGGAGGTAAACGGTGGGGTGGGGAAGTACACAACAGGGTGGAGAAGTACACGACTGGGTGGGGACATACAGGACAGGAAGGGGAAGTAAACGGTGGGGTGGGGAAGTACACAACAGGGTGGGGACATACAGGACAGGAAGGGGAGGTAAACGGTGGGGTGGGGAAGTACACGACAGGGGGGGGAGGTACATGACTGGGTGGGGACATACAAGACAGGAAGGGGAGGTAAACGGTGGGGTGGGGAAGTACACAACAGGGTGGAGAAGTACACGACTGGGTGGGGACATACAGGACAGGAAGGGGAGGTAAACGGAGGGGGTGGGGAAGTACACGACAGGGTGGGGAAGTACATGACTGGGTGGGGACATACAGGACAGGAAGGGGAAGTAAACGGTGGGGTGGGGAAGTACACGACAGGGGGGGGAGGTACATGACTGGGTGGGGACATACAAGACAGGAAGGGGAGGTAAACGGTGGGGTGGGGAAGTACACAACAGGGTGGAGAAGTACACGACTGGGTGGGGACATACAGGACAGGAAGGGGAGGTAAACGGAGGGGGTGGGGAAGTACACGACAGGGTGGGGAAGTACACGACTGGGTGGGGACATACAGAACAGGAAGGGGAGGTAAACGGTGGGGTGGGGAAGTACACGACAGGGTGCACGGGGAAGTACATGACTGGGTGGGGACATACAGGACAGGAAGAGGAAGTAAACGGAGGGGGTGGGGAAGTACACGACTGGGTGGGGACGTACAGGACAGGGGGGGGAGGTAAATGGTGGGGTGGGGAAGTACACGACAGGGTGGGGAGGTACATGACTGGGTGGGGACATACAGGACAGGAAGAGGAAGTAAACGGAGGGGGTGGGGAAGTACACGACTGGGTGGGGACATACAGGACAGGAAGGGGAAGTAAACGGTGGGGTGGGGAAGTACACAACAGGGTGGGGACATACAGGACAGGAAGGGGAGGTAAACGGTGGGGTGGGAAAGTACACGACAGGGTGGGGAAGTACACGACTGGGTGGGGACATACAGAACAGGAAGGGGAGGTAAACGGTGGGGTGGGGAAGTACACGACTTGGTGGGGACATACAGGACAGGAAGGGGAGGTAAACGGTGGGGTGGGAAAGTACATGATGGGGTGGGGAGGTACAGGACAGGGTGGGGAAGTTCACGTCTGGGTGGGGACTGGGGAGTTATAGATGCATTTGTGAGTCATATCATATCTTGAGTGTCGATGCATCATGGGATTCACGGATAGTATCGTACTACTTAAAAACAGTTGTGTATGAGTTACCGCCCTTTTAGAGTGCTTATTAATCAATCACTCAAAATTCATTTCAGCATGCATTTCTTCTTGTTTTATCAACGAAAAAGAGATATTGTTTCAAAAATAAAAACGATCCTCTATACAACTTCTGATATAGATCACTTAAAAAACAAATTAGTTCAGCATGGAGTACAAACAGCTAAGATTTGTTTCATATCAAGGAAAATTATGGCATCAGGTTTTTACAGAAAGTTGTGACAAGTATCGTGATACGTAACCTATCGTCATTACCCATTTATCGTGATATGTATGGTATTGTCACAATCCTTCCAATTCACAGTACTAATGTGGAGGTACATGA